GGAACTAGGAACCATGAGGAACTAGGAACCATTGGGAACTAGGAACCATGGGGAACTAGGAACCATTGGGAACTAGGAACCATGGGAACTAGGAAACATTGGGAACTAGGAACCATGGGGAACTAGGAACCATGCGGAACTAGGAACCATGCGGAACTAGGAACCATTGGGAACTAGGAACCATGGGAACTAGGAAACATTGCGAACTAGGAACCATGGGGAACTAGGAACCATGCGGAACTAGGAACCATGCGGAATTAGGAACCATTGGGAACTAGGAACCATGGGGAACTAGGAACCATTGGGAACCAGAAACCATGGGGAACCAGGAACCATTGGGAACTAGGAACCATTGGGAACTAGGAACCATGGGGATCTAGGAACCATTGGAAACTAGGAACCATGGGGAACTAGGAACCATTGGGAACTAGGAACCATTGGGAACTAGGAACCATGGGGAACTAGGAAACATTGGAAACTAGGAACTATTGGGAACTAGGAACCATGGGGAACTAGGAACCATGGGGAACTAGGAACCATGGGGAACAAGGAAACATTGGGAACTAGGAACCATGGGGAACTAGGAGCCATGGGGAACTAGGAAACATTGGGAACTAGGAACCATGGGGAACTAGGAACCATGGGGAACTAGGAACCATGGGGAACTAGGAACCATTGGGAACTAGGAACCATGGGGAACTAGGAACCATTGGGAACTAGGAACCATGGGGAACTAGGAACCATTGGGAACTAGGAACCATGGGGAACTAGGAACCATTGGGAACTAGGAACCATGGGGAACTAGGAACCATTGGGAACTAGGAACCATGGGGAACTAGGAACCATTGGGAACTAGGAACCATGGGGAACTAGGAACCATTGGGAACTAGGAACCATGGGGAACTAGGAACCATTGGGAACTAGGAACCATGGGGAACTAGGAACCATTGGGAACTAGGAACCATGGGGAACTAGGAACCATTGGGAACTAGGAACCATGGGGAACTAGGAACCATGGGGGAACTAGGAATCATGGGGAACTAGGAACCATGGGGAACTAGGAACCATTGGGAACTAGGAACCATTGGGAACTAGGAACCATGGGGAACTAGGAACCATTGATAAATAGGAACCATGGGGAACTAAGAACCATGCGGAACTAGGAACCATGGGGAACTAGGAACCATGGAGAACTAGGAACCATGGGGAACTAGGAACCATGGGGAACTAGGAACCATTGGGAACTAGGAACCATGGGGAACTAGGAACCATTGGGAACTAGGAGCCATTGGGAACCTTCATGTGTTTGAGAAAGACCCCTCCTGAAAATTCTAAGAAATAACGCTAACAAACTTTCATTCTCAAATTCAAGATGGCCGTCCTTTGGCCATCTTGGTTTTCCCCATCCCCAAATTAAATATGCATAACTAGGGACCATGGTGAACTTTTATGTAAAATTTGAGAAAGCCCCCCCCCCCCCCCCCCCCCCCCCCCCCCCCCCCCCAACTAACTCTCAAATTCAAGATGGCTGCCTGTCGGCCCATTTAGTTTTGCAATCAGTTCCAAAGAACTATATGCATAACTAGGGATGATGGGAAACCTGTATGTGAAATTTGAGAAATATTCCTCCAATATTTTATTAGAAATAGCGCTAACAAGAATTGTTTAAGGATGGACAGAATGACGGACAGACGGACCATGGATGCAGGATGATTTGAAATTATGAACTAAAACAAAACGTTATAATGCTTATTGATCCCATTATAACATGGGGAGAAAAATTACAATCATTTGAAAATGATAGTAAAAACAATTTCACAAATAATGATATCAAATAAACTATTACCAAAACATACTAATAATTTGAGTAATAACAAGAACTCACATGGACATCTAAACACGCATGAAAATACTTATTTGGATCAACTATATCACAGTTATATAACAAGAGGCCCTCACTCACCTGAATATGTTTAAATTAAATGGTATGAAGTAAAGATATAGCACTCCATGGTAGGTGCTGTAAGTACTTATGAAATTTCAGAAAGATCCATCCAGTACTTAAGAAAAAGCAAGAACAAACTTCAAACACAGCCCCAACCTATGCCCCTAGGGGGGGTCATACCCACCAATTATACATAATTGTGTCCCCTTGGTCCAAGGATGCTCCTGACTAAATATGGATAAAATCCCTTATTCCCGATGGTCGAAGAAGGATTTTTAAGGTTTTACCTCTATTTCTCCTATTGGGCCCCACCCTTCTGCCCCCTGGGAGACCACACCCACTGCTTTTACAAAATTGAGTCCCCTTGGCCTGAGGATGCTCCAGATTAAATTAGGATAAAATCCCTTAACCCCTATGGTAGAAGAAGGATTTTAAAGGTTTTATCTCTATTTCTCCTATTGGGCCCCTCCCTTCTGCCCCCTGGGAGACCACACGCACTGCTTTTACAAAATTGAGTCCACTTGGCCTGAGGATGCTCCAGATTAAATTAGGATAAAATCCCTTATCCCCTATGGTAGAAGAAGGATTTTAAAGGTTTTACCTCTATTTCCCCTATTGGGCCCCGCCCTTCTGTTCCCATGGGGCCACAAGACTAAATTAGGATAAAATCCCTCAATCCATATGGTAGAAGAAGAATTATAAAGGTTTTATTTCTATATCCCCTAATGGGCCCCGCCCGTCAGGTCCCAGGGGGGCCACACCCACCGTTTACACAAAATTGGTTTTCCTTTACCCAAGGATGCTCCACACCAAATATGGAACAAATCCTTACATTCCTACAGAAGAAAAAGGATTTTAAAGAATAATTTGCTATGTTTCCCCTATTGGGCCTCACCCCTCAGGCCCCTGGGGGGCCAGACCTACGGTTTATACAAAATTGGTTCCCCTTCACCCAAGGATGCTTCAGACTAAATAGTCCACCGATATCCTATTAAATCCTATTAAATGAAAAAATTTGTTTGAAAATAGACCAGCACGTTTTCTCTCTTTCTTGGTTTTCAGCTGCATCATCAAAACGCTTCACTTTACTTGCGATTCAAGTGTCAAAGCGACCTAAATTAGCAATGTGGAAAATTAAAACAGATTGAAAAAATCTGGAATTCCGATATATTTTTGAGGAGTGGTAAAAAGTTCTCAATTTTTTTCAGATTTTAACAGAGGTAATTCCCGAAGAACTATTTTTCAAATTTGTGTGGCCTAAGAATTGTTTTTTTTACAGAATTACATAACTTCATAACCTTTTATTGAGTGGACACTGCCCATCAACTCGTATGATAATGTAATATACGACTATCCTGATAGCGTTTATAAAGTTAAAGGGTAAACAATCATACAGCAGGGATTGAACTTACTTGTGTAAAGTCAGGGATCTCGCTGGCTTTGAGGTTCCCAGATGCATTTGAAAGCTGGAACAGCCTTGGTGCTCGTACTTCCTCAGACATCTGTAGACAAAACCAAGCATTAGAAAGTGGTGTATGGCAAAACCTGCATCAGTACCATGTCATTTTTCCCTGTATGTTACATCCTAACCTGTATGTAACATCCTAAACCTGTATGTTACATTCTAACCTGTATGTAAGATCCTAAACCTGTATGTTACATCATTACCTGTATGTAACATCCTAACCTGTATGTTACATTCTAACCTGTATGTAACATCCTAACCTGTATGTTACATCCTAACCTGTATGTAACATCCTAAACCTGTATGTTACATTCTAACCTGTATGTAACATCCTAAACCTGTATGTTACATCGTTACCTGTATGTAACATCCTAACCTGTATGTTACATCATTACCTGTATGTAACATCCTAACCTGTATGTTACATTCTAACCTGTATGTACCATCCTAAACCTGTATGTTACATCGTTACCTGTATGTAACATCCTAACCTGTAAGTTACATTCTAACCTGTATGATACATCCTAACATGTATGTTACAACCTTACCTGTAAATTACATCCTTGCATGTATGTTACATCTTAACTTGTATGTTACATCGTAACCTGTATGTTACATCGTTACCTGTATGTTACATCGTTACCTGCTGTATATTACATCGTTACCTGTATGCTACATCGTCACCTGCATGATACATCATAACCTGTATGTTACATCGTTACCTGTATGTTACATCATTACCTGTATGTGACATTGTAACCTGTATGTTACATCGTTACCTGTATGTTACATCGTTACGTGTATGTTACATCGTTACCTGTATGTTACATCATTACCTGTATGTGACATTGTAACCTGTCTGTTACATCGTTACCTGTATGTTATATCGTTACGTGTATGTTACATCGTAACCTGTCTGTTACATCGTTACCTGTATGTTATATCGTTACCTGTTTGTTACAACCTTACCTGTATGTTATATCGTTACCTGTATGTTATATCATAACCTGTATGTTACATCGTTACCTGTATGTTACATTGTTACCTGTATATTACAACCTTACCTTTATGTTAGTCTTACCTGTAAACGTTTCTCACTAGGATAATCCTCCTGTCCTCCCAGTAAAGTCCAAAAGTCTTTCTTCTCCTGGCCTTCGAAAACCATATCTGGCTTACTTTAAACCAAAAAGGAGATTCTGTACACAAACTGTTTTAAAAACACAACATGTTTTTGTGTAAAAGTATCAGCCTGGTTACATAAAAGTTTGACCTAGATCTGAACCCAGGTGACACTTGAATTGACCAGAGCAGGGTCGATTCGATATCATTCCTGTGTTGAACTCTTTATGTATACTGTACACCGGGGAATTTGTCAAATTTTTGCCATCAACGGTAAAATCCATTTTCACCTAATTATAAATGCCCTTCATATTTAATTATTATCTATATTATTTTGTTTACAAATTTTTGTTGTAATGATAAATTTCGCCTTTGTTAACCACTGTTTATACAAAATTAAGTCCCCTTGGCCCAAGGATGCTCCAGACTAAATTTTAAATTTTAAAGGTTATACCTCTATTTCTCCTATTGGGCCCCACCCTTCTGCCCCCTGGGAGACCATACCAACCGCTTATACAAAGTTGGTTCCCCTTGGCCTAAGGATGCTCCAGACTAAATTAGGATAAAATCCCTTAATCTCTATGGTAGAAGAAGGATTTTAAAGGTTTAACCTCTAATTCCCCTATCGGGCCCCGCCTCTCTGCTTCCAGGGGTTTAGACACACCGTTTATACAAAATTGGTTCCCCTTCACCCAAGGATGCTTCATACCAAACTTGGACAAAATCCTGTCTTTCCGACAGAATAAGAAGGTGTTTAAAGAATAATTTGCTATGTTTCCCCTATTGGGCCCACCCCTAAGGCCCCTGGGGGGCCTGACCCACGGTTTATACAAAATTGGTTCCTCTTCACCCAAGGATGCTTCAGACCAAATATGGAACAAATCTTTTCATTCCTACAGAAGACAAGAGGCCCAATGGGCCTGCATCGCTCACCTGGTATTAANACATATATTGACCACTGTGACCTTGAATATGGGCGAAGGTCATTCACTTGGTAGTCCTTCATCCCAGCATGTTAATGGCCAAATATCATCACCCTTGGCCTTATGCTTATTAAGAAGAAGTCATTCAATGGTTTTAAACATATTTGACCCCTGTGACCTTAAAATATATATGTCAAGGTCATTCATTTGAACTTGGTAGTCCTTCATCTCAGCATGTTACTGGCATTATCCTAGGCCTCTTGGTCATTCAGAAGAAGTTGTTTAAAGATATTAACATATTTGACCCCTGTGACCTTGAAAATTGATGAAGGTCATTCATTTGAACAAACTTTATAGCCCTTCATCCCAGCATATTACAGCCCAAATATCATCACCCTAGGCCTCTCGGTTATTCAGAAAAAGTTGTTTACAGGTTTTAAACATATTTGACCCCTGTGACCTTGAAAGTGGGTCAAGGTCATTTATTTGAACAAACTTGTTAGCCCTTTATCCCAGCAAGTTACTGGTCAAATATTATCACCCTAGGCCTCTTGATTTTTCAGAAGAAGTTGTTTAATAGTTTTTAACATATTTGACCCCTGTGACCTTGGATATAAGTCAAGGTCATTTATTTGAACAAGCTTGGTAGCCCTTCATCCCAGCATGTTATTGGCCAAATATCATCACCCTAGGCCTCTCTGTTATTCAGAAGAAGTTGTTTAAAAGATTTTAACATATTTGACCCCTGTGACCTTGAATATAAGGCAAGGTCATTCATTTGAACAAATTTGGAAGCCCTTCATCCAAGCATGTTACTGGCAAAATATCATCATCCTAGGCCTCTTGGTTATTCAGAAGAAGTTGTTTAAAGATTTTAACATATTTGACCCCTGTGACCTTGAAAATTGATGAAGGTCATTTATTTGAACAAACTTGGTAGCCCTTCATCCAAGCATGCTTCTGGCCAAATATCATTACCCTAGGCCTTTTGGTTACTGAGAAGAAGTTGTTTAAAGTAAAAAGTTGACGCCGGACGGACGCCGGCCGGACGCCGCACCATGCCATAAGGATTTTAAAGACTAATTTGCTATGTTTCCCCTATTGGACCTCGACCCTCAAGCCCCAGGGGCGCGAGACCCATGGTTTATACAAAATTGGTTCCTCTTCCCCCAAGGATGCTTCAGAGGAAATATGGAACAAATCGTTTCATTCCTACAGAATGAGAAGGATTTCAAAGAATTTGCTTTGTTTCTCCTATTGGGCCCCGCCGCTCAGGCCCCAGGGGGGCCAGACCCATGGTTTATACAAAATTGGTTCCCTTCACCCAAGGATGATTCAGACTTAATATGGAACAAATCCTTTCATACCTACAGAAGAAGAAGGATTCTAAAGAATTTGCTATATTTCCCCTATTGGGCCCCGTCCCTCAGCCCCCAGGGGGGCCAGACCCACCATTTATACAAAATTTGTTCCACATCCCCCAAGGATGCTTCTGACCAAATCTGGAACAATTTCCTACAGAAGAAGAAGGATTTTAAAGAATTTGCTATATTTCCCCTATTGGGCCCCGCCCCTCAGCCCCCACATTTCACATTAGACTACAATGTAACTTAGAAGAGTTATGGCCCTTACACCAATTTGGATTATGTATTGTAAAACACAAAATGTGAATTCTTGTCCAAGACGAGCGTGTAATATTCCTAAATTGTTTAAGTTTCAGAAACAAGAGGCCCAAGAGTTCCCCTTCCCCCAAAGATGCTTCTGACCAAATTTGGTCAAAACCTATGGGACGTTCAGGACAAGTAGCGTTTTAACGGACGGATGGACGGACGACGGACACTGCGCCATGGCATAAGCTCACTTGCCCTTCGGGCAGGTGAGCTAAAAAACATAATAATGATTACTTACCGAGAATAACGTGTGCAAATCTTTTTGGCCATTTCCCTTTCATCTCCAGTACAGCCCTAAAATATGGGGATAAGAACAGAGTAAGTATGGACAGCCATAATCCCTTTTGCTCCTCCTAAACTATTACAGAAGTGACATTAACCTCACACAAAAAAAGGCAATAAGCAAGGAGGGCCAACACAGGACAGTAAGCAAGGCGGGCCAACACACATGCTAACGCAGGACAGTAAGCAAGGAGGGCCAACACATGCTAACACAGGACAGTAAGCAAGGAGGGCCAACACACATGCTAACATAGGACAGTAAGTAAAGAGGGCCAACACAGGACAGTAAGTAACGAGGCCAACACAGGACAGTAACTAAAGAGAGTCAACACAGGACAGTAAGTAAAAAGAGTCAACACAGGACAGTAAGTAAAGAGGGCCAACACAGGACAGTAAGTAACGAGGGCCAACACAGGATAGTAAGTAAGGAGGGCCAACACAGGACAGTAAGTAAAGAGAGCCAACACACATGCTAACATAGGACAGTAAGTAAAGAGGGCCAACACACATGCTAACAAAGGACA